CTTTCCTTCTTGGTCTCCCGGGAGACGAATCACGTTACTGGCCACAATTATTCGTTTCGATATGTTATAACAGCGATATTCATTGGAAGAATACAAAGAATCACATTTCAAGAGGAAGGATATGTGACGTTATATTGCTCGCGATCAATTCGAATTCTCGCCAACGAGGAACAATTTTCGTTTACAGTCAAGGGCTTTCGATTGTTCGAGAACGAGCAACTGCCCTTCTTGCACAGAATTTCCTCGCATTAGATTGACAGATATGAAAAAGATATGATTCCAGGCTGCTTATTAATTGTCACGAGGTTGGAGGGACAAAAGCGGTTTCGTTATAAAAACTGTATATATAAGCGTGTACTTTCCGAACGAACGCAATGTTGAGAAAAGATACGTTAAAAAAAAAAAAAAGAAAAAAAAAATCACCGAGCGGCGATATCGAGAACTGTCGTTAACGCGATTCTTTCAAGCAAAATGTTTGGTCGATGGACGCTCGTTTTCGTAGAATCACGTTAATTACAACGTGTGCTCAACGTCGAATATTTCCAGACAGACGTGGTCGCTATTTACACGCCGATAACAACGATAATCGCTCGACAAATGTAATACATTACTTGTGCACGTCAAAGATATGTATTGTGTTTCGCGCTTAAATTTCTAGAAACTACTTACATAATCGATGCATTGGAAACAAAACAAGCTTAAAAATTACTTCGTTCCTTCGTTCTCAACGCTTAGTGTTATTAACTAGCATCCACGGTAATTAAGTTCGTTCCGTTTTCGTTTAAAATCAAAATGAAACGTCGACGAAGTCCGAGCGACGCTGGAAATACTCGACCAGGCGAGTACACGCATGAGAAGTCTTCGATAGCGTCTATTTCTGCGACCGAGGATCGGCAGTCGCCATTAACTATTCAAATTTAGGCTTTGTTCGACGTTCCGTCGCGATAATTAACGGATTTAACGAGCAGGGGAAGAACACGTTGACGCAGGCGTTGTTTTGTTCTTTTTTTTTGTTTTTGTTTTTTTTTTTTTGTTTTCTTTTTCACGAACGACGGAGGGAAAGAAATTGAAAAATAGAAATGAAACAATTCGTCGAGAAAAGGCTTGCTTCGATGAATCATTGCGATTTGTAATTAGGTCGAAATCTCACGATTTCCATTTTAGGTCCGACTTGCGCGCGCGCTCACGCGAACTTTAGTCAATGATAGATAATCAACTCGTAGATCAGCACGTGTTATTTGTATTTACAAGTAGTGTATCCCGGCACAGTATCCACTTTTCTTTCCTCAACCATACGTCAGCTTTCATTCAGACACTCCTTCTCGTTGATCATTCGATTACACACAAGCGGTACATTATCATATTATTATTATGGTTATTATTATTATTGTTATTATTATTATTATTGTTGTTATTATTATTATCATTATAATTATCATTATCATCATCATCATCATCATCATCATTATTATTATTATATTATTCCTTTTTCATCGTCTCATGAGCTCGAATCGTTTCCCATACTCGACAGACTCAATCAGAATTGGAAATCACGAGGACACATTCGTCTTTGGAATCGAAATCTCTTTCGAATCGTCGAGGGAACTCGTCATACGATGGAAACGACTTCGTGTGTTCAATGCATACGCAGCTTCGATTCTACCATTCTCCTCGATTCTAGTCCGTTTACAATTGAATCGAAACGCAGTAGACTGCGCGCGCGTTCCCATGAACCCTGTATATGAAGAAGAAACCTGTGGTCACGCTCGTAAGCATTTTAGAATCGGATAGCGAAACTATTTCGGTGCAAGTGTATTGCGGATTGTCGAACGGAAATGGAGTGTCTTCGAGGCGAGCTCGATGCATTTCTTCTTTTTTTTTTTTT